GTATCCGATTTATAATTAAAACGTAAGTAATGTAGTCAATTGCTATAGCAAATGCAACTTTGCTTCATCGATACTCACACCACAGGATGTGATATGGGAAAAGGCCCGGCTTTTATTGAACTTATAATCTTCCTTGTGAAGCAAGGGCCGGTCTGGAATTGTGACGTAGTGGTCAACTTATCTAGGTTTATATGCTGCGCTACCATAGTTCGAGTTCCGTTAGAGATGTGGATAAGACCTAACCGAGATCGAAACTGCAGTCTATTCCTGCCTAAATGAGAATACCTTTTGAGAAGCAAGACTATGCGAAATTCAATGGAAAAGTAAAGCTTACTCATACCATCATGGGAAAAATCAGTTTTTAGTTTTTCAGTACATATAGAATATATGATAAAGCGGGATAATCTGCATAAATTAAGGCTTTCGTATGAATTAGTTCCAGCTATGACTAGGTCTGTTAAGTGGCATATGGGACAAAAGCTCAACTCGTTTTCATCCGAAACGAGGGCGAATATTTCGTGAACTGTGTACAAGTGAACGTCGTAGTAAAGCCAAACAGCCGTGAGATCACCCACTTTCATACTAAATGAAAGTCTGCATTAGCAATGTTATTCCAAAAAATGCATCCAATTTGGCCTAAATGGCCCAAATTGGCATCGATGACACAGTCCTTCTTACTTCAGTCCCCCCGCGGATTCAGCAACACCTCCCGGATTAATACGAGTTACGTAAATGGCGCCGGTCTTGTCCAGCCAGTCGGCCGGCCCAGCCAGACACGGATTGTCCACGCCACCGGCGATACTGAATCCGAAGCCACGCGGTCCGCGTGTAAGCGTAATCTCCATAGTGATCGGCCGACTGCTGAGCGGCATCATCTCGCAAGTGGTTTCAGGCGAACCGGCAGTCACGATTGCCTCGGCCGGTGCCGTCTGAGGCATGTCCTGCCCGACGGTGACCCGAGGTCGCTGAGCTTCCGAGCTCCGATGCAACTGACGTTCAAGCCGGCGCATTCGGCGTCGTTGCACCGCCTCCCGGTCGGTCTGGCGAGTACAAGCGGCCGGAGGCAGTCGACCGGTCGTCAGGACATTGTGGCCAGAGATGG